GAAAGTTGAATCTCAGCTGACGGTCGGACTGCAGCCTTCAAGCAATTTAACAGAAAGGTAGCACATTGCTATTTGAGTAGGATTGAGTTGATGGTAAAGTTAATTCTTCATTCATTTGTTGAATATTCTTAGCACGAGTGGATCGTTTACGATCTCGATAAAAATGAAGAAATAAGCTTTGCCCAAAACGATCAAGGGGAAGACGTTAAGACTGACTTTGATTCCGTACAATTTTGCCCTGCTCAATCTCAAACCCATGTTATTATGACACTCTCTGGAGATTTGTGTGAAGTTAGGGTTAGCAGTGAATATGAGTTTAAGCGAATATTAATTAAGCATGCCAAGTGATTGAAAACTGTTGCGTTCAACTGTTGTTGTGTTGTGTATTATTAGATTTGGAAGATTGAGGGAAATTGCATTACACCTACAAATAAGCAAATATCATGCCAATACGACATAGAATATTGTCGATGGGTACTAATGCAAGATAGTGTTTGTGTCTTGTTGTGGTGGAGAAAATATCAAAGTGAAGGAGGGGAGTATAAAAACTATGAACCTGACGATCCGGAAAATTGGATTAATGAATGTCAAATTGAAGTAAGCTACCATTGACTAAATGCAGTAAAGTTAAATATCGTCTCTTAGATCCAATTGATAAAAGCTATTTGTATCAATTTGATGGATAGATGTGGAATGCACAGGAACGGACTTGTCGATCATTCAAAGTACCTGCTTTCATCCATGCAAAGGATGATGGTCGGTACTTTGCTACCAATGATTTTCAACATGGCTTGCCCTTAAGGTACATCAACATCTACCGTGATGCAGCCTATATGATATTGTCATATAACAGGTTTAGAAGTAAAAGTACAACAATTGGTCTGTTAAAAATGGAACAAGCTATCGAATTTGAAAATCAGTTTCGGCCAATACATGTTGGAAACGTTAAGAATATTTTGATATCAGGCGATCAGTCAATGATCGCTATTGACTGTTCTTATAAGGTTAGTGCAATATTGGGTTACTCATATTCATGATGCGTCACAAAGTAGATCAGCATAATATTTTATAGTGCAGTAATATTAGTTCTATATCGTAATACTGTGATATATGTAGAAACTCATACTCAAAATGAGTGGTGATCAAGTCCAATCTCGTGCTAGAGTTGATCAATCTGGTCGATCAATGTTTATTCCTGGTAGTAATCGATTGCTTATTTATGGCTTACATAATGTATATGAATATAGTTTACAAGGTAAGACATGATGGTTGTACAACAACTCTAATTCAATCATGCATTCATTCATGGTCACAATCGTTTTTATTAAACTAAGGCGATAAAATTGCTTGGCAAGATATCTCTCAAACAAAATCAGTTGATGTTGGTAGACCCCAACGTAACCCCCAAACTACCGTCAACATATTCGACGTAGGTTAAGCTTTCATCAGCACTAGTAGCTCTATCGACTTTGTTCAATCCTCTGCTCCATTGAATTGAATTGAATAATATTGATTGGTTGCAGCTGATCGAGTTTGTAGGTATAGAAGATTGTAGAAAGTACAGGGAATTAATCAATGGAATACTTGAAGAAGAATCGACTGCTAAAGATTTGATACGCTTCAGATATAGAAAGAAGGATAACACACTCATTCTCTTTCCTGTATGTTGAAAATACCAGTTTGAAGTTTGTATGAAAATGACGGTAGTATTATTTAGAAGAAGATGATGAAAATGAGAATGCTTATTAGCTAACATGAGAAGTTGTTGAACTGATTTTACAATTACGTTGGAGGTCAATTGGTCGAATTAATGAATTGATTTATTTCAGATATTCTCCTCAAAAGCAAGGTGGATAATAACTGTTAACCTTACGACCGGAAAGAAGAGCGTTAATCGACTGACATTGAGTCATGGTGCTCGTGTTGTGTATGTTGATGATGATTATCTTTATGTTTGGGAAAGAAACAAAGATGATAGACGTAGCTTGAAAGTAAGCTAGAATAATTTATTTCCATTTAATCTCTATTCTAAAGTGGAACCGTCTATAAATTGACTGTTCAGTTTCATGTCGAAAATAGCCTTGAATGTCGACTTTGACGTCTATTGCAAATGGAGACGACCAATAACGACATTTCCAACTTGAATTTATTGTAGTGTTACAAGTTTGGGGATGGTGAATATCAATTACTGCAAAATATTGACTACCAAGGGGAGGAAGGATTAATCTGTAAAATAATGATGAATTATAACCCTCATAAGATTGAACATTCGCCTCTTCGGATGAAGAAAGAAAAATTAGTTGATGTATGGGGAGAGAAAGATGCCGAAATGATTGCTAATGCAATGGTAAGTCATAATGATCGCAGTGTCAATATGGAAATGAGTTGGAAGGAGGATGACAACGACTCTAATGAGTTGATTATGTAAGGAGCTCTACTCTAGTCCATAGCTGATCGTTACATTCCATTCAATTCATTATAGGGTTATGTCGATCTTTTGCTACTACTGGAAAATGGAGACCATATAGCAGTAAGACAACGATAACTGGATACAATCAATGTGACGTCGTCATTGTTGAACGTAGGTTGTGCTAATCATAAAATTATATGCCTATAGATACTCAACGAAAATGGACATTTACGCATGAAAAGATACAAAGACAATATCAAATACTTCGATAGTTTAGCACAATTCTTCAACCATGAAAATCTATGGTCGGACAAGCAGTTAATCCTATATGAAAAATACTCTAGTTTGAATATTTATAACCCCCAAACACTACAGCTACAAATCACTCTACCATTCCCTCACTTCCGGATATGGGACATGCAATGGAATCTTCAACACTCTCAACTCATCATCAGGAGTAGAAAGGATTACATTCGGAGTGATCAGGATTACTGCTTAGTAACCCACGTGAAAAAGACATGATATTTGCATGACATGGAAAGTTAATCTTGTATCTTGTACCCAATGCAACTTAACGAGAGTGACAATAAACTAAGTTAATATTGCTTCCATAATCAATGAATATGATTGATGTGTATAGTGTATATAAGATGGATAAAGTACACCCCCAATGTCAGTAAAACCAATACCCAAAAATAAATAAACCAAAGCATGATTAAAAGCAGTCTATGTCTAGTCTATGGTCAATGCAATTGCTGAGTTAGTTTAATGTCTATTACAAATCGTAGTCAAAGAGGGACTTGAAAGAGAAAAGGAAAAACATCTGTAACAAAACATTGGTAAAATAGGAGGAGAACATAAAGATCAACATAGGGATGGAGAAAATGGATTGCAAAATTGCAGCCTATCTATCATTAAGCATCCCATCTAGTCTAAAGTAGATATTGATGACAGTCTTGTAATACTGTAGATGGCGATCTCTTCAGCTATTAATAAACTAAATCAACATCACTTCTATCCATGAAGATGATGGATGTGTGTACTGTATATAAGATGGATAAAGTATACCCCTAATGTCAGTAAAACCAATGCCCAAAAATAAATAATGCAAAACACCATTGCATATTCGTCCATGGGGAGAATGCAATAGTTGAGTTGGTTTGATTGCAATTATAAATGGCAGTGAAAGAGAGATTTGAAGAGAAAACGAAAACATTTGTAAAAAGATTCAGGATTAAGATTGAGGTAAAATAGGATGAGAAAATAAAAATAGGGATAAAGAAAATGTTTTGCGAAATTGCAGTCGATCATGAAGCAAACCCCCAAAAGTCAGTTTAACCAATACCCAAAAATAAATCAAAACAAAATTATTAGTATTGCAATCAATGCAATTGTGCAGCTAGTTCAATGTTTATTGCAAATTGCAGTAAAAGACGGACTTGAAAGAGAAACAATCTCAGCAAGTTCTTGGTCAAAATAACATGAGAAGATAAAATAGTCTGCTAGCAAAGGCGATCATGACTGGAAGGGATATTGCCAACAGAAAATCGTCTTACCTTGTTGTCCATGTTGTCTTCCACTTTTTCCCGACCCCAAAGGCGAGATTGCCTGCTTTCATTCTCTTTCTCACCTTGCTATCCACAGTTTACAAAGTAAATTAGTGATTTCAATTAGAGCCAAGAAAAGTTGATGGCGAGCATGCAGTAAGCAGCGTGCCTGTGCGATACTTTCTTAGTCCAAGTGAGGTTACTCGGTTGATATCTTGCTTATAATATTGTCCGCTGTAGACTCCATTCCTACTTCTATAGGGTGACAAGCTATTTTGCACAGTAGCTTGCAGCGCCGACTCTCTACTTAGTCTTCCTCTTCTTCTACTGCCTTCTACACGTGAAATGGCAGTCAACCATCAAACATCTTTTTTTCTCACTTTCTTTTTCCATACTACAGATTTCTCTCTTATACTTATTAATCTGTGCTTTTGACAGATATTGTTGGGTGTTAGCATTGTCATCTTGCTTAGCAGGTAAGTCTTTCAACCAGTTAAAGCAATCTTAATCGATATCATTTTAAACGCAAACCCTAACATTATTGCAATAATATAATCGTCCCTTTATCGCCATTAGACCTATAGTTGACATTTTGGGTTGTGAACTGAATTTCTCTTATACTTGTTAATCTGTGTGTTTTATAGATATTGCTGGGTGTTATCCCTGGACAATATCCTGGATTATCCCTGCACGGTCATCATTTCTGGTGTTTACTAGCACTAGTCAATCGTTTCACACTTTGTACCATGTTGACTTTCATGCTGAAAAATAGTGATGAGTTAATAACTGGTTTGAAAATGGAATTGCTCAAGTACGGCCAAGTTTTGATTAAAATCATTACGTAATTTCATTTTGTAGTCGCTTCAATTAACGTTACTCAAGATCTTTAATAAATCAATTGCTGCCACTTATACAGTCCGTTTTTCCTTATTAGCTATCATCCAAATTTCGCCAACTTGCTAAAGTTCATAATCAATTGTAAAGATAAACACGAGTACCTGCATATCTAGTTGCCATTTTCGATAGAAT